ACAAAATTATTTTCTAGCAAATGAGTTGGTGCTGACGAAATGAAGTAAAGGAATGCAAATACTCTGTAATTATGTTACAAGCTTGTGAGACACATTTTGCCCAGCATGTTGCAGGCTGTAATGTCCATAATAGTAAATGACATACATCACGGGGCTTACATGCAACACATTAACTTATAGAAATGACTCAATGTAACAGATTAAAAATAAACTGGTATTCAGTAAGTGCTCTTCAATTAAACTGTTACTGTGTTACTCAACAATTATGAAAATAAAGAAATTTACCAAAGTAAAAGCAAATAAAAAGTCCACAAGGGTAACAGTCGTTCCGTAGCGTCTGTAACAAGAATGGTGTCTTTCAAAGCTCCACCTCTCTCTCTCTTGTTTTTAATTAATTGTGAATACGTCAAAATTTTAGACCCTATTTCACAAGATGATGAAGTTGCAGAAACAATCATAAAACGTAGCATTTGAGCTCATAATGCACAGCTTTTGTCTCTTTCACTGACTGACCCGCTGAAGAGAGAAGAACTTACCTTGAGCAGTGGGGACATATGCTGGAGAAGTATGGGCCTCGGTCTCTTTTTGTTCTGTTTGGTTATCGTGTCCTCTTCCTCTGTTCTTTTCAGCTGCTCTTTCCCCCCGGTGAGCGAACTGCCTGTGAACTACAGAAGAGGAGGCACGTGGGCAAAAAATGCTCAGTAGTACTTCTTGGGACTTTGGGAACTTCTTAGAGAACTGACTGACAGAAATACAACGTTTTTGACAAGTTATATATTCAGCTGTTCAAAAGTGGCACTTCACTGTGACTGTGTGAATATTATCATGATGGCATTTCAGAGCCGTAAATATACAAAATGTCACTGTTGTAAACTGTGTTAAAATAACTGGAAATGAGAAATGTTGCTTTCGTGCCCAACTGCAAATTGTTTCTGTTCAAACTGTGCAGATTTTCATCTCCTTCCCAAGTGGAACATCAGAAATCTCCGTCTATGCTGCTCAACTCACCAGTGATCTCTTAGCATCGGGCAAGAATTGTCCAAACTCAGCCAGCAGGTCTTCTTGTCCCTTGAAGAGACTGGCAACTTTAGAAAACACCTCATCTTCTGTCATCCCACTGCTGCCTCGACTACCTCGACTCTCCTTCACCTCCAGCTGTTCCTTCTAAAATGTTATAGAGATATAGGGGAGACACACACACACAAAATAAAAACAAAACTCAGAAACTGCAAATAAAAACCCAACACCTTTTATGCTATGAATATGCAGTATTCATGGCCTTACTTCTACAGTACCTGATATGTGTGAAGAATTTCTAGGAAGGCTCTATAGATCTCTGGATGGTCCAGGAAACGGTTTTTAATCTTGTTGACGTAGCTGATGGCGCTATCAAATTCTACAGGGCTCGTCTCTGAGGCAGGCGGGGACACAGATGAGGTGGCTGCTGGATTTTGGCTCTCTCTGCTGGTCAGAGGAAGAGAAAGTCTGCTGGGAGGCTCTGGAGGTCCTGCTGCTGATGAAGACAGGGGCTCTGTTGTAGCCACCTTGACTTCACTGGTCTGGGCAGGTCCCACTTCAGAGTGAGAGGAAGAGGCGCTACCCGAGGTTGCAGCAACAGCAGGAGCGACAGGACTCTTCCCCTGCGGGCTTGGGGATACCTGCACAGAGATGCATTAAGAAAAAGACTGTTTATTTACGACTTGGGGAGAAATATCTGTTTGTATATGCCGGTGCAGGTGCAGCTAAAATGATGACATAAACCAACTTTAATGTGCTTGTGTTGCTGCAGAAATATTAAACACTCAAACATAAGTTGGCTCTGTGGGTTCGTTTTAAATCCCTCTCTTAGCAGTGTATAAACTCTATATAACACAATAACAATTGTAATTGTAGACAAAAGGTACACAGTAAACATAAAGCACTAAATATTAAAATGATTTAACAGAAAAAGTTTACATAAACTTTCATAGGTTTTAGAAAAGAAACGCATGCATTATGCATACTTTATGCCTAATGTTCAGAAAGAAAAGTGACTGGATGTTTATATTAATGTATTTGTAATCTAAAGTCAGTATTAAAGGAAAGTAGTTCTGATGCAAATCCCAAGTCACACTAACATTACACCTAAGATTGCCCAAATCCCATTATCTTGCCATCCACTACCTAAGCACGATCCATCTCTCAGAACAAAACATCCCTGGAAGTTAGTTCCCAGCTTTTACTTTAAAATAATAAAATTGTACACAGAAACTGAAAGAGCTGACACATGTAAAAGTTTAACTCAATCTGACACGGACCAAATGCCACAGAGTGAAATCATTACAAATTCCTCAGTGTAGTCGTTTTTGTATCACACCGTAAAATTCTTTTAAAGTCTAACATAGATTCCTAATCTCTGAAATTCTTTTTATATACAACTTGTATATATTTGGCTCTTTGTGATGAGATTTAAGTGCTTGTTTCAGCCAAAATGCACAGGAAGAAGCAGAACACCAGCTGAAATTTTGTCAAACTACAAAGCTGCTGTCACATTTTGTAGTGAAATCTTCGTGAGGGCTTTTTCAGCCAGATCATTCAGCTGAAGTTCAGGGCAGTAGAGCCACACCTGTTTCCTCCTAAGATGTTCTGTGGTCTTAAACATATAATGCTGTCAGCATACACTGCTGTACATTGCTTTACTTATATCTGATATCTCTTTAAAAAGAGTATCTTACCTGTGCAGAGAAAGGAGACTGAAGGAAAGCCATCCCATTCTTAGGGACCTCTATCCGATACCCCGGTGGCAAGAAGGCATTGAAGCCCAAGACGAGGTCTGGGTGTCCATGAAACAGTTGTGATACACGGTTTATCACTCCCGGTGTGTCGATGCTATTTCAGAAGACATACAGATAGTTTAGAAGTTTGGTTGAGAAAGATTGATTAACTACTTCTCTCAAACACCACAAAGCAAAAACAGAAAACAAGTTATTAATAAGCGCTACACATGTTAGCTTTAAAGAAAAAGGAGCAAAGAGGATTTGCTTTTAGTCCTCGTTTCATTTCATGATAATAATACCAGTTGCATAATTACAGTAAGAAGCTATGTGCAGTTTCATATGCACTGATAAACTCCAGATTGTGAAACAGAACTAGTCAAGGATTAAACAGCACAACGTAATGAAACTCCATAAACAAGCAGCACACTCACCATCTAAAGAATATGTATGGGAATGTATGTCATTAAGAATGCATTACTAGAACTCCCATTACTTCTGGTTTTCACCCTGGCAGAAGTACAGCTGCCAGTTGGTCACAAGATTATACAAAAACCATCAAGCTGAATTTCATAAGACTTGGTGGCGTATGGGTAAATGAAGATCCCACTGTATTTTAAAGTGGATCTGGACCACCTCCCTTAAAAACTGCACAACAGAAATCAGTGTGTGAAATCCTGTGTAGTAGTTACTTGTGGTTTGTTTGCATAAATGCCCAATGATACCTCTGCGACTTGAACTCCTTCATGATGTCGAGAAACTTGTTATATATCCCAGGGTCATTCGCAAAACGAATTTTGACTTGGTCCAGATATGACAAGGCATCTTCAACCTAAACATGGAGAAGAGGAAGAAAAAATCAGTACAGAACAAAGCACAGGCAGTCTCAGCTGGATGTATGGAGCAGCATTTTCCCCAGAATCCAGCCACGGTGCTCACGGTGGATGATTTTACAGCTACAAAGCTTGTTTATAGATTTCAAATGCTACGTTTTGCATTATTAATAAATGCATTTATTTCCGATTTGTACTATAAAATTACAGGTAGCCCCATCGTACAGATTTGTTTCAGTGCTGCATACGTGAAGTTACGTGAATGCTGACTGATTTGTTCACTATCAGCCAAAGTGCAACATCAACAAATCCTCTGGTTAGCAGTACAAGCTGTTCAACTAACGCTAAAATAAATAAATAACTGGGCATACACAAGAGACACCAGGCAGCTTTTGTTCATTACTCCACTGCTTTCTTTCGCTACCACAGCTAGGCTAGTTTAGGTTGCGCTAAAGGGGGAAAAATGTCTTCACACAAGCCATTGTCACAAATAGTCCACATCTTAAAGAGGGTTGTTGTAGCTAACGTTTAGCCAGGAGCCAGTCGACTCACGATAATAACTCCACCAACACTTGCAACACCTACCCGCATACAAATTTATACAATATGTTTAGTCACAGCTGGTCCCCGGCCAACAGTGTCGCGTTGGCAAAAACAGTACGACATATTAAAACACTACTATAACAAAGAAACGTGTACTGAAGCTGCTAATGAAGTGAAATAGCCGTTCTTGGCTAGCCTGGCTGACGTCCTCCACTTTGTTCGGGTGGCTGAAAAAACGAACAAGGAGGAACTTCCCACAAACGAGGTCTGAGTTAACGTTTGCTCACAGAAGCACTTATTGATATGGCAAATGAGAAAGTACCACTAACTGTGCCACTCCACTGTCACTCGCACATCCACTAAACGAAACACAGCTTCTAAATCCAACATTAAATGTTAACGTTAGGCTGTTTAGCAATGAATTACTTTTAATAGGCCAGCGAGCTAACTAACGTTAGCCAGCCGTTCCTTTCACTACTCTCGACGACAGAAGAGAGAAAGAGAAAAAAGCCTCAAATCCAATGCAATGATCCGACGAACAAAATGGTTCTGACTCTCAGCCACTTTTCCCTTGTCATGTCCGTTGTCTCCTTACCTTCAGCTTCTGGAAGTGCTGCTGCTGCACTTGCTTTTGTGTTATAACGTAAGGCTTGTCTTGAATTTGGTTTATTTGCTTCGCGGTGCTGTGCGCCTGAATCTTCGCCATTATCCCGGCGACAGGAGGCTCGAGAGCCGCTACCACAACTTAAGAGGGAAGCTTCGGCGTTACCTCCAGTTGTTGGCTAGCCGACAAACCTTGCTCTCGGTCGGGAAGCCAGCCTGCCAGCAAGCAACCCTACTCTGCCTAGCTGGACAGTCTAGGTACAGAGGCAAAAAAAAAAAAAAAAAAAGGACGGGAAATCCAGCAGAATGAAGGTTGATGACAGACAACCTGCTACTCTCGGTGACTTTGATGAAACATCACCATCGAATTAAACGAGCCCAGGCAAGAAGTATCGGAAAATAAGCCCAGAGACAATGGTTACCGTTTTTCGTATTTAAAAAAAACTAAAGCCTGTCTCTTTAAATTCGGCGGCAGCGCTCTGTCTTGGCGTCCGGAAGCCAGAGTAGGAGTGAAAAAAAAAAAAGTGAAAAATTGAACTGCGCAGTCGCAGCGATGGGAGGAGCTGAGTTCACAAGAATCAGATTGCTCCACTCCCCCTTCACTGCTACAAAGGAGCAGCGCTACTCCATGCAAAGGATGGCTGCACACTCCACAACGGTGCCCACGGAGCTCGACGGTGGACCGAATGCCGACTGTGAGAAAGATCGATACGGGGCTATTGATAGACACCTACGGCTCATTCAGAGGGCATTCACAATGGATTCAGCTTGGTTTTCCAATGCAGGAGCCAGAGGCAGTTTTAAACAACTTTAATGGATATGAGGAAGCAAAGAAAGGAACAAGTATTTTGCTTCGAAAGGGTTTATTAGTGACTGATTTACACATGGTAAGACATTAGGAGTAATGATGACAAATGAGAGAAAAAACAAACAAACACAATTTGTGCATTAAATATCTACAACACAGTGTTCATTCTACCACTGAAAGGTGCTGAAAGGAATCCATCACAGTATTAAACTATGGGGACTTTGCTGCTAGTTTCCACCTTTGTAACCACTGCTGAAAAGTCAGTCCTCCTTTACTGACCTCGGGAAGGACATGCTGGGCTGGCCTTTCCCACCTACAACACACAAAACAGGGAAGTTAACTAGAGAATGAGATGCTGGACTACTGAGCAAGGGCATGAATGGAAAATAATTAGAGCCAATAAATTCAGTTAGATATTGGCCTCAGATGTGCTGGAATGAATGTTTTATTTTTTGTTTTGTTTTTTTTGTCAGTGCGCCCCAGGGTGGCTGTGGCTACAATGTAGCTGCCATCACCAGTGTGTGAGTGTGTGTGTGAATGGGTGGATGACTGGATGTGTAAAGCGCTTTGGGGTCCTTAAAGACTAGTAAAGCGCTATATAAAATACAGGCCATTTACCATTTTACCATTTAATTCAAGCCATGAAGTCATTTAGAAATGGTGTAATCACCTGTCTGTAGATGTTAACAGTAAGGTTTAAGACTTCGTTTACTACCAAAGAATTAAGAAAGCTGGTCTTTTTTGAAATAGTTTGAGCTGCAAATCTATATTTAGATGACTTAAACCACTATCAGCCAGTTTCCGTACCTGGATTAAGCTTCTACATTTAAAAAAAGAAAAAATCTAGAAGATCACAAGTTTAAAAAAAGAAAAAAGAAAAAAGAAGCTTTAGTCCAAGACTGTATATTCACTCTGGAATAATGAGATGTCAGTCAGTCAATAATAATCAGAATTACTGACCAGGTGTAATTTATCCATTGCATTACGGAGACCAGTTAAAAATGGCAAGTACATTTATCTCTCCATAATGGACTCCAGCAACAAAAGCCTAGTCAGACAATCAATGAAAGATCATTAAAACTGCCTAAATCACTTAAATTTGGAAAGAAAAAACACTTACAAAAGTGTGCACGAATAATCTTAGTATTGTCTAAAGGTTAAACCAGGAAGTAGTTCTAATGAGTGTTTAAAACATGCTCTTTTAGTGATAACTCGTCCATTCACTTGCAGATGTTGTTCAGGTAACCGTGTCACTCTAGATCACAGGTGTCATTTGGCCCGCGAAGCCATACCAAATTACTATTAGAGCTGGCCTACTGGTATTATACAGCTAATATATATATATATTGTTTAGTATTAAGCTTTGCTTGTTCCATATTCAGTTTTTCAGCAAAACGTGTCCATAAGAAAAGATTCATTCTCATATCTGGAGGAATAAATATGTTTCAATAAATATTAACGTTAGCCCGCGACTTTGTTCCAGTTTTGAATTTTGGCCCACTGTGTATTTGAGTTTGACACCCCTGCTCTAGGTAATTCCCAGATCTCAATTTGTAAAAATACACCCAGATTAGAAAGGAGAAATCTCGATTAAGCAGCAATTAAAATAATATTGATAACAGGTTATCGGTTTAACAGATGCGTCTCACCAATAAGAGATGGCGGTTTTGACTTGGTCCCCATAAGAAAGGCCCTGTGCACAGCGGTGAGTGAGCCCTCGGACTCTTGGTACCAAAGACTTAAGAAGCTTTTGGTCCTCCTCCATGACTCTGGACAGGAGAGCTAAGAGTGCAGACAGACAGCAGTATGTTACTAAAAATCCACTGAGCATTTTATTTTTTGAGGAAATTTCTCAACATATTAAGTACGTGTACACCAAACACTGCCCTCATTTGTGTTTAAACCAAATGCTTTAAATCTCTTATCTCCCGATAAGTTCTCCTGGTTACCCTTTTGATCAGATGCCTCCAGCTGATCCGCTTCCTTCTTTATCTTCTGCAGAGTGGCAGAGTGAAGCTGAAGTAACTGACGAAGAAAACGCAGCTCAAGCTGTTGTGAGCGAGATCGGGAACACAACTCCTCCGGAGCCTGAAGTCGGGTGTGAAAGTCAAAAAAAAGTTACTAGTATGCAATATATGAGGAAAAATAAAACAGTGAAAAAGGACACCTCCCAGCAGCTTTGGTACATGGAACTCTATTTTCCTTCTGCTCAGTGAAACTGACTTTCAAAGATGCAATTTTTATCATCCCTGGTTGTGAGGGGTTCAGCATCGATCAATGACCGTCCGTTACAATCACTTAGGCCACATTTAAGAATTGGCTGCAAACACTGATTTTGTAGAAAATGATTTGAGAAAGATCCAGAGGAAAACATAAGTGATGTTAGGATAGTGAGACGGTCACAAAGTCCCTTTAAAAGATTTCTTTGGAGGCCATTACCCAGGCAGCATGACTGAATAAACTGTTTGTTTTAGTGACTGAAATTACAATTTGAATATTTTAAAATAATACAACACAAAATCATGATGTCACCAGTTCAGAACAATGCTCCACTGACTAACATCTACTTTTACTGAAGCAAATGACTCAGTCACACTAAAGCAAGATCATCATAGCAACCTCCTTTCAGCAAAGGAAGGAAGGAAGGAAGAATGAAGTGGTTGCCCAGTGACTGCATTGAATGTTTTTAGCGTTCAGCAACCAACTCCAACTGGACGCCCTGAGTTTGAGCGTGCAACACTTCCAAACTCTGGCAACCACCTTCAATCACAAGGCGACTGCAAAGGTTGTCTGCAAATAATCGGTGTCTAATTTACGAACATGGACAGTCTGCCTGAACGATGCAATCATTCGGAGTCAGCTGAACAGAAGAGCTCGTCTGCAGAGCGTTCAGAGGAGCCTATCAGGTCAAATTTCACTGCGTGTTATACCTGCATAACCATGCACGTGACAAATAAAGAATCTTGAATCTTCATTTGTAAGAGACGACTCCAACTGCCTGTCGATTTGCAATAAACAGCTGACCTGCAGTAACTACGTCGCAATTTGTGAAAGAATTAGTGGGGATAGGTTAATTGGTTAATCCAAATTGCCCATAGGTGTGAATGTGCGAGTGAATGGTTGTCTGTCTCTGTGTGTTAGCCCTGCGACAGACTGGCGACCTGTCCAGGGTGTACCCCACCTCTTGCCCTATGACAGCTGGGATAGGCTCCAGCGCCCCCGCGACCCTGAACAGGATAAGCGGACGCGAATGGATGGATGGATGTTTTAAACCTATGAGTTTCTGGCTGGGCTCTCAATGCAAGTAATTAAATGAATTTGTGGTATTTAGATGGTAAGGGAGGGACACAGATTTGCAATTTTCACTAATTAATCACCATATCATCACAAACAGATTGCAACCGTAGCAAAACATGAGCGTGAGAGCGAGCCGAATCAAAGAGAAAACAGTAAAACTGCAATACTTTACATATTATATGCCAGAACTCACCTTGTACAGAGGGAATGCCAGACTCTGACACACGCTGCTGAAGGTCGGGGACCGCAAGCGATGGATGGACAACCACGATGCAGGAATTCGTTGCATGCTAAACAAAACAAAATGGAATTATATTTCTGGTCAGCGAATGTCACCGCTGGACAAGGACAACAATTAAATATGTTTTTGTGTTGATTCACTGCAGCTGGGCCACAGATGTACCACCAACAAGGCAAATATAGGGATACCAAGCAACATGCTCATACCCTTCGATAGTTCTGCGGTCCAGGGAAAGAAGTGAAACTGTTCCCATCTGTCTGGCCTCCTTAGACACAGCGTTCCTTAGACTGTTGGCTGCAGTGGTCACATCTTCAAACTGTGCCACTAGTTTTGCCTGGATGAATTCCTCTAACTGAGACAAAACACAAAGATTAAAATCCTCAGAGTGCTACAAAAAACCCCCATAAGAATTAAATTTTAGTCACTCTCGTTTTTCACCCCAGACTGAAGCCTCTCATCAAACATATTTCACTGTCATTGATCCTGACCTCTCTGTGAAGATGAATCAGCTGCGTCTTGGCTGTCGAGTTCCCCTTAATCAGACCTCTGATCTGCTCTTGTCTGAGAAGCTATAAAAACAAGAAAGCAGAACATGATTATTTTTATGATCAGAATCAGAAAGGGTTTTATTGCCAAATGTTGAGCAGGTTTACAACATTAGGAAATTGCTGCGATGATGTGACAAATGCTGACAAAAAGTCAGTCTCCTCACACCTAGCAACCATCTAGACCACAGATCTACAATATATAATGCATGGAGAAAATATTTCATCCCAAAATATTGTCTGTCAACTCTCACCACTAGTTGTCTGAAGTCCAGTATGCTCTGCCACTGCCTGCGAAGGCTTCTTAGCGCCTCCTGTCGACTTTGGGCATGTTGGTCAAGTTGGATGCAGCGGTCTCTGATATAATCCCTGGCGGCTGCCTGCATCACACACTGCAGTTCCACCTCGAGAGCTGATCTAACAGTTCAGAGCACAAGGAAAATAAAAAGCATGTAGAAGACGAGACAAAATTATTGCCTCTAAAGATATTACCACTAATTAAAATGAGCTCACATAGCTGTTTTCAAACAGGATGTAAATACAAAGTTTAAAAACATTGTATCGTTCAGATAAAAACAACAACAATAACAGTGGCTGTTTGTTGCCCCCCCACACACACAGAAACCCAACTCCCAAGGTGCAGTACTGCAAAAAAAAACATGAAATGTATGGCAAAGGCAGAGAGTGAATTGGAATGAACTTACAGTGCCAAGGAATCATCCTGGAGCTCATCTCTAATACTGGACACCTCGAGCTCAGCGTCCTTCTTACGGGTTTGCAGCTGGTTTTTGAGCTGCAGGACTCTGGAGCGAGTCTGGGCCAGTTCCACCAAGCTCTGCTCCACTTCTTCCCAAGCAGCCTGCAGCAACAATCACATGCGGGTCTATGCATGAAAAGTTACCAATCGCAGATTCCAGGAAAAAGAAAGAGATGATCATCGTTCGATCAAGATTTTATGTATCAGGACATAATGTGTGAAAAAATAAGCCCACTCTTACTGCTTCTGTTTATTTCATTCACTGATCATCAGCAAATGTGACATTGTTGTTAAAGCTGGTTCTACAAGCTACTGAATCATATGGTGTGTTTAACCTTTGACAGTGTTTCTGCATTTTGGATTAGTTTGTTAAATCAACAATGATATGGTTTAATATGACACGTGCTATTGTTTGTATTTACCTCATTTTAAGACCAGATTATCTTTATTATGTCCTGATATGTAAACTGTTAGAATTAACAGGGGGTGTGCCATTTTTCACCATGATAGTATGAACATGGTTTTGTCTGCGTTACTATTGGTATACTGCAGGGGTAGGCAACTCCAGGCCTCGAGTGCCCGGTGTCCTGCAGGTTTTAGATGTGTCCTCGAACCAACACAGCTGATTTAAAGGGCTAAATGACTCCTCAGCATTTCTTGAAGTTCTCCAGGGGCCTGGTAATGAACTAATCATTTGATTCAGGTGTGTTAACCCAGGGTGCGATCTAAAACCTGCAGGACACCGGCACTCGAGGCCTGGAGTTGCCTACCCCTGGTATACTGCAATGTGACCGCACCTCTAAGAGGGTTTTAACTGGTGGTAATTCTTTTTCCTCTTCTGCCGACATATCCAGAAGGTGATCGCTTTCATAGCGGAACCTGCATGTCAAAAAAGAAATAAATACATTTTTAAAATGCATTACACTGGAAATCTGGAAGCATAACGTGAAATGAAAGATCCCAGTCACTGCCTTACTGCAGAGCTGTTACATCCCGTGTCACGTCCAGAGACGACAGTTTCTCCTCCAATACCTTCTGCTCTCTTGAAGCCAAATACTGCAGCGCTGATAGAACATGGTTTGGAGGGTAAGTACCCAACACGTTCTGGTGACACAACAAGCAACAGCGTGTTAATGAAAAGTCAAAATTAAAGACAGTGTTAACACAAATACAAAAATATTTTGTAAAATCAGACACAAACACACCAACCTCAACAGCACTCAGCCAGTACTGGAATACAGCAGTCCGCTGCTCACGGGTCATGCTACAGGGAAAACAAACAAACAAGAAACTAAATACATTTTAAAAGCTGAATAACTTAAATCGAGTACAGTCTGCGGTCCTTACTGTGTGGCTGCAGAGTGCTGTGTTTTCGATTCGCACTCTTGTAAAGACTGATAGAAGTGGACCCTGTCGTCACACAGCTCTCTCACATCGCGCTAAAGAAAGAAAACAAAAGTAATGGATGATTTCATCAAGTCAGCAGCTGATATGCTACAGTTGCCTCGGTAAGCAACTGATTCCAGATTTGTGCGAATGTTAACATTTCTGCCAGCACACATTAGGTAAGGTTAGGTGAAGTAATGTTGGGTTAACTGGTAACTATAAAAGTCTGAATGTCTGTCTGATGGATAGAAAACACACAGAGTCCCTCCAAAGCAGCTATATTTGCTATTTCTGTCTGATAAACATTCTAAATTTTAAACTTAAGTAAAATACAGATTCGGGCATGTTTTACCAGAACTTGTGCCTCTGTTGCCACTTTGACATTGAGGCTGTTGCAAGAAGATTTATCAAACAGCACTTCAATTTCTGCTTTTCTGCAATAAACACACACACAAAAAGAAAAACGTGTAAAAGGCATCGCGGCTCGTTTTCACTTAAAATGCATCAGTAAATGTTTTGTCTTACCTGGCCATCTGTTCCAGAGCCTGGCAGTGCACACTGATCTGTTGGACATCATCAGAAAGATCCTTGCAGCTCGAGACGCAGCGCTGCCTGAAAGCCTGAAGCAGCAGCTCTCTGCGTTGGCCGTCTTCCACCTGAGCCCAGGTTCGACTGATAGAGCTCTCTGTGTAATCACAGCAGAAAATGCAGCTATTAAACGCAAACGGCAAAATAGTAGAGAAAAACCATTTCTGCCGTTCACCCTCAACAAAAGTTAAAGAAGAAAGATCTTTTCACAGCCATGTAAATTAAGTTGAGAAAACTGATATCACCGATTCAACCTTTTCAGCCCTTTGTGGTAGAACTAATATATTTGAGCTGAACCTGTCACCATGTGAAATGTGTGAAAAAGATATTTTTTCAGAACTTCTCTCATTTTAACTTTAATTATTTTATCTTTATATAAGAAAACAATCACAAGGTGTAACTCAGTACCTTTTGAAACAAACATACACAACATCAGACGTGTTTGCATCTAATCAAAGTAGTGACAACACATCAACTGATGATTTTGAATTGAGCATAGGTGTGAATGTGAGAATGATCGGTTGCTGTCTCTGCGTTAGTGTCCAATGTGCACTGCGTCTCACTCAGCAGGACAGGCTCCAGTCCCCTCACAACCCTGACTGGAGGAAAATTATGGCGGAATGGCTGGAAGTCCTGCCCACAGTGTATATGATGGACTAACCTTGTGTGGCCATCTGCTCCTCTGTAACACTCATCTGAGAGTCCAGGTGACTAATCTCTTCTTTCAGCTGCTCTATCTTCTTCTGGAGATCTTTACGCCTTGCAGCCTCACTCTGGCCCTCAGCCTGACAAGACTGCACACCAGTAAACACAAACATAGCTTTTACAGAAACTCCACTTTGTGAAGCGCAATCACTAACAACTAAACTAAATTATAACTGCTGGGGAAAAGAAATAAGTTGCAGCCTACCTCTTTGTCTTGAAGCGATTTATACCTAATAACAATGTCAAGGATAACAGAGCAAATAAATAACAAAGAAAGGTAACATTCAGGTCCGGGAGAAATTTAAAGTCTGTTGGAAAGAAGCTGGAAGCTTTGCAAATCAAGTCAAGACCAAAAAGGATACCACTGAAGATTGCCACGCATGATCCTCGCATTCCTAAAAAGACAGAAATCAGTCAGAGGTTGCAGTTTATTTTAGAAAACAGGCCATTCATACAAATGTTTTTTCTTTTGTAATGAACCAGTCCTGAGTAAATGTTTGAGGGCAGGAAATGAGCCGTGCTCTCGTTATAATTTAGTGATCAAAAGGTTTATAAAACAAAACAAAAAGCAAGCGAGAACAAAGTCTCACCTTTGCTGGAAAACATGCTGGGTGACATATTTCCATATCGACTTCCCCGTCCCAACACAGAGTCTGGAAAACAATCAACATTAGTTCAAGGCTAAAAAGTTAGGTAATAACATTGATGACAGGTCATATAAGTGTAGATACCTACGTTTTAAAATAGCTGTCATTAGGCAGCCTGTCCGGGGACAGCCCAAACTCCTCTGTCGCCCAGCGTTTCAAGTCCTGAACAAGATTTCTGTCTCCCATCCTGACAAATAACAGCGGGTAACGAGCTAAAGCTAGAAACAACAACAGGAGACTGTTATCATCAGCTAGCGTAGTTAGCTTAATGAGTGCACGTAATTCACAGATGTCCCTCCAACTTACCGTGCTCCCACGAAGATGCCTCTTTAATACAATAAAAACAGTTTACGGCGCTAAAACGGGAATATTGTTTAACCTAAACCTACTCAAACTTTCAAGTTCCCGCCTGTCGACAGCATTTCCGATCAACGACCACAGAGGAAGAGGAAAAAAGTACCGCCACCTGCTGGATTGGAGAGCAATTACAACTACAGCCATTTGCTGCCATCAGCACAGACTGTGCCTTAACTTTGATTTTACACAAACATCTCACATAATGAAAATCATGTAATGATCCAGAAGCCAATATTCTTTTTTTTTAAACGTGGAGATAATTTAAAAGATGTTGTTTGTCATGTTATTTATTGCACTGTTCAACCCCAAAATCTGATCTGCTACCCACATGACATCTAATCAGGGACATTTGGTATATATACATGCTCATGACAACCTGCTGAAGTTCAAACCAAGCATCAGAATGGAGACGAAAGGTGATTTAAGTGACTTTGAATTTGCCGTGTTAATGTCAGAGGTCAAGGGAATACAACTCGTTTCACTCAAGGGATGCAGAAGAGCACCTTTGAATGCAGATGAGTTAGAGCAGCAGAAGACCATACTTTGAGCCTATCAGCCAGGAACAGGAAATTGAGGCTTTAATTCATACTGGCTCATCAAACGTGAACAACAAAAGCTCGGTAAAACTTTGTCCGGTCTGATCAGGCTCAATTTTTGCTTTCACATTCACACGGTAAAGAGTTTGGTGCAAACAACATGAAAGCATGGCATCGCCCTGCCCCGTGCGAGTGGTTCAGGCTGGTTGATGGTGGTGTGATGGTGTGAGGAATATCATCTCGGCACACCGGGTCCAGAAGTATCAGTTGTGCACCACTTAAATGCGACAGCCTACCCGAGTTCTGCTGCTGACCATATTCCCTTATGACCACAGTGTACTCATCTTCTGATGGTTGCGTCTGGGGAGGATAACGTGCCACATCACAAAACTTGAATGATCTAAAACTGTTTGGTTGTTTTTTCTTAAACACTGCAACAAGTTTACCAGAATCTCTGAGGAATGTTTCCAGCAGCTTGTTCAATTTATGCTGCGAAGAAATTATAACAATTCTGAATGCACTGGCGGGTTTTCCATCCACGCTGTACAAGTTGTGATAAATAAATAAATAAATAAACACAAAGTCAGAAAGTGGCTCCTGAGTATCTTTTATTTGTTTTACTGCAAATAATCAGCAATTCAGTAGACGTCTAAATGCACAGCATTAGACTTTGTGTACTCAGTCACCTCCTCTCAACCACAGTCCAAAGGTCACAATAACCATGGTGCTTGTTTTTTATTTATTCATAGTATAATATGTCATTAAATCACTCCAAACCTCCATCCTATGAACAATGGTGTAAAAATAAGTCTCTGAATGTCTGTTGTATAATAAGTGTGTTAAATAAATTAAATCTGAGGTAAACAAAACACATTTCAGATGATACCAATATTCTTAAGGCTTGTGATTTCTACTTTTGTATACTGACAAAAAAGAAAGAAGAAAAAAAAAAAAACACCCACTTTTACATTTTTTAAGCATATAATACAAATAATACACTCACAGCAGGTGCAAAAGAATTTTTCACACAATTTTAAAAAATAAAACTAAAACTAGGTGTTGCTGTCATTCCCTTTGTGAAAAGAAAACTCACAATAAGCCTCTGATTGTACTTTATGTCTTTAGCACCGGGCGGCTGAGCTATCCGCCGATGATGGCAGGATTTTATTTCTTTTAAAAAAGGTGCTTAAAGTCACCGTATCCTCTTGAAGAGATTTAAAACTGATACAGATTCCTGAAACAAAAAATGAAGAAACTTGGTTAATGTTTTCAGCAGGTATTAAAATGGGCGGGGTTTGTTGTCATGCTTTCTCACCTTTGTCGAGCGCGTTTTATTGAAAACGTTCCAGAAGCGTAAAGTCTCGTCTCCAGCTCCCGTCACGATCGCCTCACCGTCTGGAGACATGGCCTAGAGAGTACAACAAGTCATTCGAATTTTATCTCAATAATGTTCTTATTTAAAGTAAAGCGCTATATAAATACAGGCCATTTATATTATCAGTGGAGAAAAAATAAAAAACCCAGACTGACCAGGTAGAGCACTCGGTAGGAGTGTCCTGTAAGCTTGGCCACCTGAGTGAGAGCTGGATATTTCCACACCAAGATTTGATTCTGAGAGTATCCGTGGGTGCTTACCTGAAAAAGAAAAGCATTTGTTTGCTTTTTGTTGTTTAACAGTGAACTCCAGTTTGTGTATGTGTGATGGACCGAGCTGAAAAAGCAGGAGTCGCAGGAATGATCCGAAAATGGGTTTTCATTTATTTACAAACAGTAAATGTTGAGCTCATGAAAGAAGTCAAAGAAACAGTGAACTGTGACCTCAACAAACCAAACAAACATGAGTGACCTAAACAGGAAATGACACACATATAATGGCTGATTAGACCACTATGACACAACAGACATTTTACAGAGCCACCATAGAGAGCATCCTAACGTACGGCATAACAACATGGTATGCAGGGTGCTCAGCTGCAGACAGGAAAGTACTGCAGAGGGTCATCAACACAGCCCAGAAGATCACTGGCTGCTCTCTGCCCAGCCTGGAGGTCACTGCAAACTCTCGGTACCTCAGCAGAGCTGGCAATATCATCAAGGACCACTCTCACCCCAGCAACCAACTGTTTGAACTATTACCGTCAGGCCGACGGTACAGGTCACATAAAACCAGGACAAACAGATTCAGGGATAGCTTCTTTCCCAGAGCTACCACCGTAGTAAATAAGCACAAAACAATTGAACCTGCTTAGCTATACCATACGTCACTGCCATTATATTATGCTGCTATTCATACTGTCATTATATTAATGCTGCTATCCTGTATATATTGTACATACTATTGTTTGAGTACTTACGATTGTTGTTTTGTACTTTTTATATTTTACATTTATATTTATCATTGAAACTTGCACCAAGGGAGTGGCACTCCAATTTCGTTGTACTCTGTACAATGACAATAAAGGCTATTCTATTCTAAGTAAACAAACCACAAAACGATGCAGCACAGTCCAGTTTGTTAATAAACTAAACACCAAAGAAGAAAATCAAAACTAAACCCTAAACTCAAACATTTAACTAAAGAAAACACACTTTCTCCCCCTTCAGCAGGAGGTGGTGGTGCGGTCCAATCATCCCCTCTATGCATTTCACTGCTTTAAACGCCACCTTTTGTTTCCTTTACCTGTTTCTTACCTGCCACGATCGGTGAGGAAGGCCAGACAAAGACTATACAAAAATCAAACCAAGAATCAGAAATAAATTGGTATAAATACATAAGCAAACTAAATGTGCGCACTTACAAACAAATGTATCCAAACCAAACAATAAACTTACTGCAAACTGAAGTGTGTTACTTTGAATGAAGAAATAAAGAATACATCAGAGTTACCGACTTTTAGAGTGCAGTCATGGGTGTGGCCATCACAGTATGTAAAGGCGATACAGCTGAATTAACAGCGAGATTAATCTCTGAAAACCTTTTCTTTCTTTCGGGGTCGCCACAGCAGATCATCTGCCTCCATCTCAGCCTATCCCCAGCATCCTCTGTCGCACCAACCCTCTGCATTTCCTCCTCCACTGCATCCACGAACCTTCTCTGTAGTCTTCCACTATCCTTCCCTCTGCACAGGTCCAAACCATTATGTTACCGTTTTATGGGGTAGCTGTTGAACCCATTCTCCATAACGGATAACCTTTGTGTCAAGCTCGGCACACAAATTCAAAATGTCATTAAAAGGGCTGGAAAGATGATTAGCATGCTCCATCCATCTTCCCCCCAGAAGATATCTGAAGAGTCAGTGATTGAGTGGGTTTGGGGGGGG